TATGTTGGAGCCAAATGAGGTGTTTGTTTTGTGTGATGCTATTTTCCTTATGGTTGTGTGTTGGCCCTCTACTGGGCAGCCTGGGCATGTGTAGCCTGGGCAGATGCTGTGGTTAAGACAAGGCTCCAGGTGAGGTGGGACAGGTGATTGAATGGAGGCAAACAGTTTTTTTTACCGTGTCAGCCTGTCGGAGTTAAATGCATCCAACGCGGATTTGTTTGTTTATTTATAGACAGTGGTTCGTCATATGTTCCTTTATTGATAAGAAGTGTTTAAAAATAAATGGATTGAAATATCCAAATCAAATCATTAATGGACTGTGTTAATTTCTTTGAGCTAAACACGCGTCCGAAAGCTTCCACATTCATCCCTCAAGTGACTTTTCTAAACAATATTGGGTTTGTTAAAATTGGTCACTACACTTTAGGTTAAAGAGACATGTAGCTTACCTTTTATTTATTTAAATATTATAACCTATTACATTACTGTACAGTGTATTTTATGTTATAGAGGTAAGATGAAGCATTCAGATTTGTGTTCCTTAAGTATATATTCTGCTATTCTTTTCTTATAGAAAACACAACAAGACCCAATACTCTGTCATATTGAATGGCCACTGAGATGCCTGTATTTTGTTTCACTACAAGAGAAGAAGTAAACAGCCATTCAACCAATTCTGCACTCGTTATTCATATTCTGGAATAAGGCATGAAGTGGTGTTCTGGCCGACACACCTGAGTGAATCCAGTGAAAAGCAACAGACTAATGTCCCAACTGAGTTTAGTTTTATTATCTTCATTACACTAATAGTTATTTTCCAACATGTATGGGCTCATTATCTATTCCCCTGCTGGCATCTCACTCTACAAATATTCCTTGCAGTCTCTGTTTTCAACCCATGGTAGTCATACTAATGTTGCACAACTAATTGTGAACTGTTCCTGATATGAGGTTTGGCCATAATCACATTATAAAGTCTGAAATTATTAAAAAATAAATGAATGAATAGAAATTAATGTGTTTTAGTTAACAAACAATACTTCTTACTTGGCATGCTCACATGTTAACTCGATTGTCACCGAGTTTAAAATCACCACTCTGTTATAAAATGTTCTTCAAATAGATAAGCTGAAGCCAGATCAAACTAAAAGCAGCGCTTGACAATTCATGCAAACAAGATCATCACTTAGAAATAGACTATTTGAAGTGATTAAATGCCTGGAAATGTCAATGTAGATAAAGAATTTAACAGACTGGAAGTGATTTGCTCATTTTAAACCATGTAACAGCCAGAATATCACTAATTTAAAAAGGAAAAAAAAAGCACCACAAGGTGGTGTACTGTATGTTTTAGTTTTAATGACAGAAAGTTGTTATTCTCTGACAGCCATCTTGCAGGCATGTAAGACGGGAGAACACTCGAATTCAGCGATTAGTTGGTGCAGGGCAAGTCTTTATTACTGCTAAAGTATAAGCACATTTAGCACAGCATGATATTAGAGCTGGTTATTGTCCACAACCTCACGATTCGATTTCGATTCTTTGGGTCACGATTCGATATTGATCAATATGCTTTGATATCGATTCAACATTACACATAGGTGAGAGAAATACTGAGATCACAGTACCTTCTTATATTTGTTAAATAATTATGTTTATATTTGTTTGAAACAAACTGACTCAAAAAATTGAATTTATATTTGCATTACTCTAGAATAAAACATGAAAATACAGTATGTGCTAAAGTGCAAAAATGTGCCTGACTTGAATTCACAGCACCCACAGTGCCCCCAGTGGAGGGGGGTGGAATTACATTCGAAATTCAAAACTCACAGTGCCCCAAGTGGAGAGGGGTGTCAGTACAACGAAGAAAAAAAATCGATGCTCAATTCAAACCACAAACCTCTACAACAATCAAAAGCTACAGAGAGACCAACTGTACCAAACAACAATACCAGCTACAAATAATTCACGGGTTCATAATGTTTTATGCTTTTTATTCTCTGCACAGGTTTAGGTTCATTCTCAGACAATGTACATGACTGCATGAAAGCTTTCAGTACTTGCAATAGACTGGTTTCTGTTTTGTTTGTTATGTTCTTAAGATGTTACCCAACCCCGATGTTACCCCGATGTCCTTAAGATTCAAGAGATGATTGATTTTTTTTTTTCCATTGAAAGGCACAGTGTGAGATCAAAGCATTCTTAACTTGCCCATACCCAAGCCATGTACGGCACCAATAAAATGAAATTAAGGTTTGAATTCAAATTTATTCTACAGTTTCAATTCAGTATAAAATACATAACAAGGCTATCTTAGAGAGTCGTGACTTTTTCAGATAATGGAAATGGTCACTACAGTAATTCCTATAAATGACTCAAATCTGAAGTTTCAGTAAAGTTTGAAAATACAACCATCAAATGAAATTGCACAGTTACAACATAGAGGCAACAACTCTACCAACTGAGCCACAGCCGCCAAGAAAATGCTTGATTCTTGCCTCGGTATTCAACTTTCACCATGACGTGCCACAGTTAAAAACCATTGACCTTCTTTGTGCACAACACCTGCTGCTAATCAGCATTGTTTAAATAAGTTTCCGTTGCCTCGTTTTAAAGTGCCACCCCATAGCCCAATAACCAAAACACCAAAAATGGCCCCAACACCCACTAAAGTGAACTTCGAGATGTTCAACGGTCCGGGGTTTCCTTCTTTGCTGGGGTCTGTAGGGTCCAGGTAATTGCAGCTTACCTGGACCCTACCACACTTTGATCAATAAAACAGTGAAGCAAAAGCTATTTAATTTAGAAAACTACCACAAAGCTACTGGAACATGTAGTTAAACAATTAAAGCAGGTATTTGTAGTGCTTTTACTGACCAACACTGCATTTTGATTAGAATTATTTATATTAACGGACTTGGCTGAGCTGATTAAACAGTGGGCATGCTATAGCTGTTTGTCAGGAGGCTTAAGGCCCGCCTCAGCTCCAGCTCTTTGCCTTTTAAGCCCCTGCAGTAAATTTGAGACACATTTTCCAATATGGCGACCCCACTGATTGGCTTCAAATGCTTGTATTAGAAACCAATGGGTGATTCCACCAAGACTACATCCATGTTTATATACAGTCTATGATACACACACACATATATGAAAGAAAATACTATTAATCACAAAATGTTAAGATTTAAAGATTATAGCGATTGGAAATGAGATATGGAATTTTATAATAAAAATGTCTAATCTCCAATGACTCACAATTTAAAAAGATTCACTAGATATTTGGGAACTAAATAAATTATTTAGCAAAAAATGAAATGCAGATGGTGGACAGCAGAGGGGGATAAAGGAATTAAAAAAATAATTAGTCACAGAGTATACAGTGACATCCTGAAGGCAACCTTAAGAATTCACCTGCTAAGATGTGCTTAGGTTGACTCAATATGCTCACAAAGCAAATCAAACATGGAATAATATTACCTGACAGCCATGAGAAGTTCATTAAAATAAATTCATACCTTTTACATTTCTTTATTAAAGTTATGCAAATAAAAATAAAATGTTAAATTAATGTAAAGTATCCACCAGCATGAACTAATCCTATTCTAATCCAACCTCCTCAGTTAACTTGTGACAGTGATCGTGTTTCTGTCATCTCTGATCTAAATGTGCTTGTTGATTCATCTGAAGATCACGTTCTGCTCAAGCTGTCTAATTTTGTAACCCAACGAAATCCCCTTTCACACTCAGCCTGAAACGTCAATGTATAGATAGAGAAGACAGCTTTGCACTGGAGAGATGTCATCCTTAATAACGTGCTTGGTTATATGTTGCCTATTATTCACAGCTAACTTATAATGGTTGTGTGCAGATGTCCCTTGTTTTATTTGCATGTCCAGGGATTTCAAACAGAAACAGATTTAACCTATTGGGATGTGGAGGAGCTGCAAATGTTATGTTTGGACAGACAGGTCAGGATAACTCTTTCCCCTTGTTTCCTGTCACAAGGATAAGCTGTGCTGAGGGGTTGCTTGCGCTAGCTGTAATACATTTTGAGTGTGTTACCATATCAACTCAACAAAATAGCCTAAACAACAAGAACTGAACTTCCTGAAATGTCAAGCATATTCTTCTCTGAGCAAGGCCTGTATGGTGTTGATTCATGTTGCTCTTTCCAAAAGTAGGCCTATAAAGTTAATACGATTCTGAATCTGTCATGTTGGAAAACAAACTTGAATAATAAATAATTAGGCTATAATTAAAATGAGCTCAAGGGTAGACTATAGTTGGCCATATTACAATTCCCGGATGGTTTTCTTTTGACTTCAATGGCTCTGCTGCTCTTTTCCTAACAGTAGGCTATTGCCATAAGAAAATCTGGCCTTTGAATGACTCCTGACCAGCTTGAAGGGTGGAGGGAGGGGGCTATGTAGGCCTAACTGAGGGGGAAATGATAAATCATAGCCAGGCAGGCAACACTGATGGAGTAAAAATGATAAACAGTTGGATATCAAGAATTTAAAGTATGAAGGGAGGGGGCAGCTGTAGGCTGAAAAAAGATGATGTTATGGCGAAAGCAAGATCTGAAGAGCTGATGCATTCAGGAACGCGATAAGGGAAATGTGTTTCTGGACAACTGACTTTCCTCCACCAAAACACAGGCTGGATTAGACTTTGAGGTCCTGTGTAGGCAAGTGTTTTCATTTTGAATGGTAGACTATCTGAAGCTTGGTGGGTGGGTAGGGCTATAAGTTCATTTGGGGTCATAGCTTTTCTAAAAGTCCTAAAAAAAAAAAAAAAAAAAAAAACTAAGATCAGCCTGAGGACGTCGGTGATGTACAGAAAACATTTTTTCTCACATGTCTCAGTCCTTCCCACAAAACAGTGACGTGATGACAGTGACAAAATGAAAAGCAGGGAGTGGACTTGGGGGTTTGTCCAGCGCCTTAACTTTCACTCTTGTTCTCGCTCCAGGGTTAACCTTTCCGTTAATTTACTTCCAATACCATCAGGAAACATACAATGCTTTTCTGTGAAGTGATTTTTGTTTTGTCTTTGATGACATTTCTACTCGACTTCCACGCGTCGGGCTGTGGTAAGTTTTCAGAAATGTAATTTATCGGTTCGGCTGATCGTTTGCCTTCTGTTGTGCTTCCGGTAGACTTTCTATCAAACACGGTATCATAGGCTATTATGTTTTGTAGGCTATTATTGTATGAGGGACAAAAAATTACTAAAGTCTAAATAAAAATATTAAATAAATAAATGTTGGGAGAAATGCATACAATAATGTATAATTAAATAAATGTATCAATAAATATATATATGCTGAAAACAATACATCAATGAATAAATAATAAATACACTTGGTTAATGAAAAAGGCTATTTATATATTTTTACATGTATTTATTCATTCATTAGCGTATTTCTACAGTTATATATGTATCAATGCATACATTTCCACATTAATTGAGTTATTAATTTATTTCCATATTTTTACATTTACACATATATTTATTTCTGTGTCCAGGTTGTAAGAGGAAAAGTATATATGTAAATTTGCTTCTGTCTGTTTTTCAAAATTGACCAATCCTACTTCAGTAACGTTACGACGGCCCACTTAATTTCCATATTTACTTTTCCTTGTACAACATGGACACAGAAATACATAAATAAATATATGAATATATGTATTTATATATTAATTGTTGACTATTGAATTGTTGCATTCATTTATATATATTTATTGATGCATTTATTTATTTATTTAGCCTATACATTATTGTATGCATTTCTCCCAACATTTATTTATTTATACTTTAGTCATTTTTTGTCCCTCATATTATTGCGTAGGCTCTTTATATTCTTATCGCATGTTTCTTTTTATCAGATGAGGTAAAAATGGATAGTTGTTGCTTTCTGTCATTAAAATATAGCCCATTCACGTCTTATCAAACGTTTTATTTTATTCTTAAAACCTAGTTGTGACCGGATATAGTGGTGGGCGATATAACGATCTTAGATCGTGAAGGATTTTAACTTGCTGACGATCTGCCAAAGCAGAGAGATCGTAGAACCGGGCTAATGTGTTTATTCTATCACATTAGATCACGCTCCTTTTTTTGCTCCGCAGCGGTGAAAACGAAAACGAAACTTAAAAGTAAAGTCCGCAAAAACAACTCCATCTCGGTTATATGCAACTGTTGTGATATTTTTCCAAACCGACCCGCTGTGAGCAACAGTTAACTTATCTGCATAGTGTGCACAGTTAAGATTAGTCTACATCTCAGATAGCGGAGAGACGTTAACAGTCAGAGACAGACAGGGCGCAGCTCAGACAGTCAGTGGAGATAAAACCCCGGTGTTTAAAATGTTGCTGTCGGTGTTTTCTGCTCTCTCTCAGTTTTTAAAAGTTACTTATCAAGCCTCTCCACCAGAAGCTCACCTGTTGTGATAACGGAACCTATAGGGATTAGGCTAAACGACGTTACAAAGCAGCAGGCAGGTGAGAGCGAGTAACCATGGTGACTGTACTGCGGCCAAGCCAGGCGCTCCTCGCTTTTACACGGTGAAGTGAGCCGCCCCTAAATTTGAAGTGCTCACGTATTCTGATCTTTATGGTAAATGCTCTGGACTGCAGAGCGAGCAGGAGTAACAGACAGAGAGAGCGATTTTGACCCGTTATTAATCTCCTTTTCCAGGCAAAAGTAATAATTACCGAATTCTTACCATAAACTGGCTATGAGATACACGTGTATGAAACGGGAGCAAACAAAATACTGTTCAGGGAATAGCTCCGGAGGTCGGTGAAATTAGTTTGAGAATAATACTGCGAGTCTGCGGTAACTTCCGTTTTTCAAAATAAGGTGTTTTCCTGGGAAAAACATGTAAGAAAATATGTTCTTACACAAGTAGACAATGATTCTGATATGGTTGGACTTAATACTTCTTAGACTTCGTGCACAGGTACTATGAAGTACTTTTACTGTGTACTTTTTGAGAAATCCACTGTCAAAGTCCCTTATAAATCACTATAATGAGTCTTTTTTCTGACTTTGATGTCTTGTAAAAAAAATTCTTCCATAAGTAGACAATGATTCTGATATGGTTGGATGTAGTACTTCTTAGACTACATGCACAGGTAGTGAAGTACTTTTACTGTGAACTTTTTGAGAAATCCACTGTCAAGCTCCCTTACACTGCACAGCTCTCTGCAGTGTTTTGAATGTGACAGTACCAATTTGATACGCTCTTTAACAGCTACATGTTGCACTTTTAATATTTTGCAATAAACACACATACAAGCATTTTTCAAATATTAATAATCTTTCACGAATAAAAAATTACTATTGACATTTTTTTACATTTATTATAAACATTAAAAAAAAATTAGAACATACATATGAAATTACAAAGACTATGAACACCAACAACTATATACATCTATCTTTTTTCTTCAAATTTGAACCAATACAAATATTAACAAAGATTTAAACAAACAAAAAATACGGCCATCAAATTAAAAATATGAGATACGTTTTGTCCCAAGCGCTCGCATGTCTTTATTTGGTAAGACCACATGACATTTTTAAGTGTTTTATTTTCTGCCCTAACTGCAAAGAGCACAATCCCAATTGTTCACCCTTGCATGTTGGAGTTGTTGTTCATCCATGGCTAGGCACTGCTCATGGTACCATCTTTGGCATGTCTCACACTGTTTCTGTAAAATAAAATGTGCAAACCTTGTCAGGAATAGAGAATCTTGTGGAATAGAGAAACATTTCTATAGGCAGGGCAATCTATACACATAATCATCTTCTATTTAGGTTTGTATGTGGGAATTTGTGTCCACTACATTACTCTTTGCAAAAGTTTGCAGCATGTTTGCAATAAAATCCAACTCCTTATAATGTAATTGTATTATGTACTCAACAACTGAGCTCCGATCTCCCACGAGAAGACTTAAATCTAATATAATTATTGAGCATATGCATTTATTTTTTAATTTGTGGGGGGAATGATGAAGAAGAGGTTGGTTTTTGAAAGAGTACAATCTCTGGTAACACATGACAGCTTCTTTTTCTTGATTTTGTGAAAATCCTTGTAATTTCAAGCATTCCTTTTTTTTCCACATGTGCCATAAACTTGCTTACTTTCTATATCTTTGAATTATTTAAAAATATTTTGTTAAAGTATCAAGGGGTTGAGGCTGGACTGAATTTCATTGTGTAGTGATCTGCAATGACAATAAAGGATCCATCCATCTATAACTAACAAAGACCTTGGCCCTCCAAATCCTTCATAAATACTGAAGGAGAGGTCTCGTCCTTAACTATTTGAAAATGAATTATTTTAGAATAGCAGAATTTAATGTGTTTGACTCTTTTGAGTATGTGTATTCTAAAAGGTATGATTTTTTTTTTATGACATTGCTTATGTTTATGATACATTGAAGGAAGAATATGCAACTTTTTGATCCAGTAGATGTTGCCCTTGAGCACCAGCATGAAACCCAAACAACTCGAGCTGCATTGTTGTGTTAGTATGCTAATGGTAGTGCTCTTTTGTTTGCGTGTAGCTTCACATTGCATGTAAATTTACACAAAATGACCATGATCTAAAAACGCTTACATGACATTCAAATAAGCAGTGAGTACAGTAAGTTATTCTTCTTTTCTATAGTCCCTCACTTACAAACAACTTTTATAAGCAAGGGGATGAGCCGGCCGGCCGTCCCGTCCCGTCCATGTAAACACGGTGTAGATACAGCTCAGACACCATCACAGACAGGGAGACTTGGGTGTCACACTCATTGTAGACAGTCATGACTCACAGAGGATATACTGGATTTCTGCTATATTTACAGTATGTGTAAAATCTCGCACATTCAGCCTTTGAGACCAAATTTTAATTTAGGAACATCTCTGTATAGAAGTGCTGCCGGTTTGTGCCAAAAGTACAGTTGCGCTCAATACATGACAGTAATGTGAAGGCTGAAACTGATTTGATGCGTTACATTAACGCTCACTGGACTATTTTCTGTTTACATTGCACTCTGTTTTAGACTGCAAATCATGCACATATCTGCACAACTACACAGCTCCTCAACATCAAAGTCAGAAAATAAGACTCATTATAGTGATTTATAAGGGACTTTGACAGTGGATTTCTCAAAAAGTTCACAGTAAAAGTACTTCACATTACTTGTGCATGTAGTGTAAGAAGTACTTAGTCCAACCATATCAGAATCATTGTCTACTTATGTAAGAAAATATATATAATTATTGTTTTCTCCAAGAAAACTGTTTTTTATTTTATTTTTTATTGTGAACACCTTATTTTGAAAAACGGAAGTTACCGCAGACTCGCACAATTATTCTCACACTAACTTCCCCGACCTCCGAAGCTATTCTCTGTGCAGTATTCTGTTTACTCCAGTTTTATGGTAAGACCTAGGCATTTAGCACTTGACGTCATCGCTCTCTCTGTCTGTTACTCCTGCTCGCTCTGCAGTCCGGAGCATTTACCATAAAGATCATAATACGTGGGCACTTCAAATTTAGGGGCGGCTCACTTCACCATGTAAACTCGAGGAGCGGCTGGCTTGACCGCAGTGTGACTGTCTGTCTGTCAATCAACAATGTCCCGCCCCCTCTATGAATTAAACTCTTCTGTCAGTAAAACTTACTTTGATCTTGTGTCACAGAATGAACACATTCTGTATTATGTTTGATTATATATAAACTAAACTAAAGTTAGTCCAATGATCTCATAGAAAACCACGAAGGCTGCAGAGCCTGTATGAAACTACAGCTGTAGGAACTCTGCAGTGCTAAAATAGAACAGAAACACAAGAACTCAAAGTCTACATGTTTTTAAATGAATGCATCACTGCGTGAAAATGTTCCTGATAAACATAAAAAGAGGACACATAACTAACTCCTAATTTCAAAGTGGTGAGGAAAACCTTCAAATTGTGCATAAATATCAATCAAATCGAGGGGAAGACATTTCTGTTGCTAAAGATGTTCTGGGTGGGAGACCTCCAGACCTCCTACAAAGATGTTTCTCAAATAGATTAAACTTGTCAGCGCAGTTTTTGTGCATTTAAAAACATTATAGAGGGAAATAAGTCTGGTTGAACTGGTCAGTAACTTACAGATTTGTCTAAAGAGCAGTATGAAAAAAAACGTGATGGGATCGGGATTTTGCGAAAAAAAAAATATGATATGGTATTTTCCCATATCGCCCACCTCTAACCGGATGTACATTTTAGACAAAATGTTTAGTGCAAATGATCCTGTATTGACTTAAAACATATCTTTTTCTTATAATCTGAATATTTTCTTAGCATTCTGTCAGCTATGGGGCTCCTTGGTGTTTTCGCGCCCAGGCTTACTTAGCCATTGTTGATGTTGACCTAAAAAACAGAACCTATAGGCATTTATATCAAGTATGATAGGCTATATTTAGAAATAGGCCTAAATTAAAAATGCAATGTAAAACTAAAGCATTTTGAGGCTTGTGCAGGTTTAGCAGGACTGCATTAAAAGACCAGACAGAAACACTGTTATAACAACATAAGTTATGGTTGATAGACACTGAATGGCTTCTTTAATAAATATGAGCAAAATTACAGTTTTGGATTGAGACAGTTGTTTTACATTCAGTTCTCAAATCTTCACTCTTCTTGTTTGTGTTACAGTTTTAAACTGTAAAGATAAACCTGTGTTCACTCCATCCCGGCTTGTGGTCAAGTATGGTGACCCAGCGTCTGTGATCTGCAATGCATGTCAGCAAGAATGCCTCAACGAATTCTTTAACTTAGAGTATTCTGTGGGAAAGTCAACAAAAACCGGAACCACAATTTCCTGGAATATTGATAACTTCACTGACTGGACAGCTAGTCTCCAGTGCTATTACAATAAGGCTGCTGAGAATGTTTCTGATCCTGATGTCCAGTGCTGTACCATCCTGCCCCTAACCGTATACAGTAAGTAAACCTGCTGATGAACTAAATGAACAGAATACTGTTGCTTGTGTGACAATTGTATCATTGAGAAACAAAATAATATGCCTATTAATGTATTCAACCCAAGCTCTCTTTGTGTTTGTCTCCACAGAGCCCCCAGATAAGGTGTCCATCAGCTTTGCTAACCACACCGGGCCATTGATAGAGGCTCATCCGTACACTCTGCAGTGTACAGTACATAATGTTGCTCCTGTTGAAAAAGTCATGGCAATCTTCTACAGAGGACATTCAGTTGTTGGTCAAGTACAGGTTAACAACAGTTATGGGGGAAAACCAATGACTCATTCCTATACTTTGGACGTCACCCCCCATAAAGGTGAAGATGGTGCTGCGTATTGGTGTGCAGCAGAGCTTGTCCTGGGACCTGAAGGACCACAGCCCCCTCCAGTGGTGATATCTCAAAACATGACTACCACTGTATACTGTGAGTCTGATAACAAAAATCTTCTTCAGTTATGAAAAAAATAGATTTTCATCAATTTCTTGAATAATTATTGAGGCAATGGGTCACATGACTACTTGGTATGCAAAACCAGTTGTTTGTAATCATGACCCAGTTTACAAACTGTAGATTCTTGTCAAGTGTTGTCTAGCTTTGATTTGTGGGCAACCATGTTGAATTCTCAAATTTGGCACTGTGGCTGTTGCCATCTTAGTTTTTAAGCAGGAAGTGACCATATTTGAACAAAGGGGTAAGATAGTCATTTCTACACTTGTGTTCTAGTTAAGAGGGGACATGGTAGCAAGTTCTCAATCACAAGCTAAACATGTTGTAGAGAATCATCAATTTTACTAACATTGAATCAGGAAATACCAAATGATCATCTCTCAGTGTTGAAGAAGACATGAAACGAGCAAATGAGACCATAGGTTTATTAAACCTAGTCAGAAGTAGTCTCATTTTTTCATAGAGTTACATTATACACTGACTTCTTTGGTCAATAGAAGAATGCAGATTTGAGGCACGTCCACATTGGCATTGTGTTTAAGACACTGAGGCTTCATCCTCTTCTTTTGTACAGTCAAATGTTTGTAATACAATAATATGATAACATATTTTGTATCGATTTGCAAAATTGCTATTAAATAGATCTGTGTCCGTCAATAAAGGTATTCAGTTAATTGTGAAAAAATATATCAAGCAAATGCCTGAGTAGTGAATAAATCAGGAGAAATAGGAGAAAATGTTGAGGTATCCTCCCACACTGCTCCTTTATAACTCATTGTATATGTGTTTAAATTAATATGTATACATTTTAAAATTGCTCCCATTTTAATCCTATGACGTGTTATGTTTCACCCACATTTTGTTAAAACACAGATGCGCCTAAGCTACAGGTGCCAAAACATCCAGGGTTGATCACCATCAATGAAGGAAACCAGCTAAAACTGGATTGCTCGTCTGATGGAAACCCGAGTCCCTCATACAAGTGGACGCTTCCATCGGGTAGCCTTCACCGGAGCAGCATCCTCACTTTCGAATCTGCAGCTGCTGAACATGAGGGCAAGTACACCTGTACTGTCAGCAACGGCTATTGGAACTTCACTGAGGAGTTTCATGTGAAAGTCCATGGTGAGTTTTACATTTTTACATGTCCTCTCTTCAGTGATGTGGTTGTCAAATGAAATAAATCAGAATCAGAAATACTGAAAAGCCATGTTACTTTCAGGTGAGAACGTGACAGCAGAAGGGATCATTGCATAGATCACGTTCACACAGTAGCCATTTTCTTCTGACATCCTGCTCAGATTGGTTAATGCTGCATCATGGACGACTGGCATAAATGGTCTAGCAGGGCTAAACTCTAACATACAAAACAAGTCATATCTGTAAATGGGCTCATTGTGTTACAGTCCTAGCACTCTATTTTCTTCCTTAGTCTAAATGTGTGACAGGTGTCTTGGCATGCCCCTTTGATTTGCTGATCATTAATGACAAATTAATTCTGCCTACAAGCCATCGACTTCTGACCAATGTCACAACTGTAGTGTTAGACTGTAGAGATGATAAAAAAATCATTTATCTTCTCTTAACTTCACAATCTATTTTACTGAACACTGTGAAGTCTAATACATACAATAGTTACAATTATCAAGACGCTAATTCTGTTAGCATGTTAATAACAATTTCCATTATGTTTAAGAATCAATCAAACAAACTAAGGTGTACATCCCTTTCCATCTGCCAGAAAGATCCACCACCCTGGGAAAAATGCACCAGCTGTCAGTAGTCGTTATATTGACTTATTGCTGGGTTCCAGGTTTCTGATTGAATAGATGTTAGAAATCTAAGAAAGCCTCATCATTTCCCTACTTCCAAACCAGGGGGCTTGAAAAATTAATGAATATACAGTATGATTACCCATTAGTATCTATCAAACAACAGCTAAAGTCATTATTCTAAAAGTGCATCCTTTTTAGAAATGTTTTAAATATTTCAGGGAACGCATGTAAACACTTCACTTTGTAAGGTTGTTAAAAATGTGATACTTTGATACTTTTTGATTCCATGTGTTTTGAAACACTATTTTTACTTTTCGATACAACCTATGATTAAAATAATAGATAGTATCGAAAAGTACCAAAGCTTAAAAAAAAATACAGATGTTCAGTCACATTTTAACACACAGCTACCAAGAGCTAAAGAGAGAGAGTAATGCCATTTCAACAGTGTGCAAGAGTTTTGCAACTTTTAGTCATTAAAAACGAGAAATTCCACAAATTTGGGTGCATAGGACTTCTGTGACTGTTGTTGTGGTATCGAAACAGGTTGTTTAAAATCTGATATCGTGGCATCAGTGGAACCTCTGTGTTGTGGCTGTTTTTGTTGAATAACGTTTTATCGCCCCCCCCCCCCCCCTTTTTTTTTTTTTACTCATCTCTTCACAGCCAACAACATCGTATACATTATACTTGGTATACTATTTGCTGTTGTTCTGCTTGTCATCATTGGTGTTATCTGCTACTACAAACACGACCTGATTTTGAGCGTTTGCTGCTCTTGCTCACCACATTCTGCCGTGCCCACCGGAGAGTGAGTGGACGGGAAAGCCTGAAATGTGTATGGACCATAATGGAGCAGTTTGCTACGTGAAGACTTGTAAGTCAAGAGGCTCCCCTGTGGCTGAAGCAAACCATGAGCCACAACTTCACCTGTTGAGCCTAGTGAGCAACCTCTTCTACATCTCCCACTCCCCCTTGTCCTGTTCTCTCTTTGTCCTGTATTTAGATCAAATGTCTTTATTTGTCTTCAGACAATTTGTCTATCCTAATCCTGGTTGGCTTTATTTCACATTTTGTCACCTAAATATGTTCAAAAACATATATATGTCAACAGTCACTATACACTTTGTGCTGCTCCTTAATACTCCCATACATGAGTTAAAGTGTGGAGGTCTGGGGGAAGACATACAGAACAAATACAGTACCGATTTGCTTTCTTCAGAAATGAGCAATAAGAATTACGAATATATCCTCTTACAGAACCAACAAAACCACTCTTCTTCAAACTGAATACATTGAAACTTAAGGACCTGGTCAATTTCAAAACTATTCAAATCATGTCCAGAGTTCAAAATAAACAGTTACGGAACAGTATCCAAAGAGTTGTTGAGCAAAGGGAAAATGAAGACAACCTCAGAGGTTTATTTATGTACAAAAAACAAGCTGGGAAAACCAATGTGAAACTTCATCACAATAAAGTGGATTAATCTATGGAACAGCTGTAGTGAAGAAATTAAAACATGTAAAAGGATCCTCTGCTTCCTGCTTTGTTGGGTTACAACCATGTTTCTGTCCAACGTATACGAAACAGATGTAGAACTGAAGAATCAATGAGTAAGATGGAATACTATAAGATGTAAGGTCTGTACTGTCTACCAGCTGATGTGAGTTATATATTCTATTTGTTGTTGTGTTTTGTTGCTTAGCTAGTTAACTGTATTCTATGATTTTATTTTGAAAGCTCAGGCATTGGTGAAGCCTAAAAGGAAAAAGGGGTAGGACTAGTTTTTTTCACTTCATCCTTCACCATTTTCCAACATGGACTTAAAAAATAATACACAACAAAAGGAAGTTCTCATTGTTATTTTCTTTGTCTGTTTGTATATTTTCTTTGCTATTTTTAATATGTTTTTAAGAAATATAAAATGTGAAATGAAAGAAAAATGTGTAATGCTATAATTATCAACAACTGTTGTGCATATTGGCCAATATGAAAGTTCCCATAAACAAAGTGTAACTGTTTGTGATTCTTGCTGTTTAGTTTCATCACTCTGAAGGACTTTATTCCTAGAGGTGCAGGAAGTGTATTGTTATTATGTAAAATTAAATAAGCTTGATTTTGTGTGTGTGTGTGTGTGTGTGTGTACTCGCTTGAATAAAATACTAAGCTCCAAAATGTATTGTTTATTTTATTATGTGAATAAGTGAAAACCCTTTGTACAAACAATAGCCTATAGTCAGTGTCTTTAAGAGATATTTCATTGCAATTTCAAGTAACTACAATGGCATTGAACTAAAATGGAGCTCAGAGTAAGTTCAGACAGGAAGACTGCTTATATTCTTTCACAAATTCATTCATCCTTTCACTTCAACCTAAACTACTTCCTCTGTCTACCTGCTCTGGTGATCAGCTCATAATCAGCGTTTATTCTTCAAGTACGGTAATTAACCAACCAGATTCGGGCACAACCTCTCTCAACCAATCATCCTGCTGCAGCAAAATGCTAAAACAGTTCTCTCTCTTCCACAGTCATTCTGTCATTTCAGGGCAACCGCTTCAAACACACACTTTACGTCAGCTCAAAAAGGAGAAAGTCATCTCCACTCGTTCACGTTGTCAGCCTCACGGGAATCAGCAGGTCACGCCGGTGCAGGAAGCAGCCTGATCATCTAGGCTATCTGCAGTCTCTGGTCATCTCCAAGCTGTCTGTCACAGTGTTAATATCCCCGTCTCATCATCAGCGTCCCTCACAGGTTGCAGTCTGCGTCAGGTTCAACTTACAGTGAAACCACACAGCTTCTGGTCTCGCTGCTTGGCAGCACAGGTGAGCAAACATCATCGCTGTTACCTGCGGTCTCAGGTAAAAAAAAAAATGTAAAAAGGGGGAAACTCCCTGATACCTTTACTTGTTACGATAGAAAGGCTATCACTATGTTTGGCACTGACTAAGTAGGCTATTATTCAGTGTTTCCCCTCATTATATTTGGGCCTGAAGGTCAAGTAATTTTTTTTTTTTTTTTTTTGGGGGGGGGGGCTTTTTGTGCCTTAATTGTAGGGATAGGATAGTGGATAGAGTCGTAAATCAGGGAAACAAGTCATTTAAGGACACCTTTCTGATAGAAAAGGACAGCTGTCATTAAAAGTAACACCTGAACACCAAGATTCCTTCAAGTGTTTGTGTTGTCATGTCGGCTTGTCCCCACCCCCCCAACGCTGTAAACCTAGGGGAAACACTGTTATTTATAATGAACTAGGGGAATTAGGATCAAAACATAGGCTATAAATATAGCCTATATCAGCGTTGCTAATCTCATCACCATGGTTAAATAATTTGAACTTTTTTGCATAATTGGTTTCAATCACTGCCTGGCGTTCTTTATCAATGCATTTTCTAAATCTTATAGTTAGGGCTGGTGCTGGTGTAGACCAGCTCTTAGTTATGCTGCTATAGGCTTAGACTACCGAGGGAACTGGCACCTTGAGTCTCTCTCTCTCTCTCTCTCTCTCTCTCTGTGCATAGTACATCATATTACTGCATGTATCTATCTGTAAATCTCAGTCACTAACCACCTACTTTCCTGGGAGCTCTTGAGCTCCTCGAGATCGTTGGTTGATGGCCTGCCAGAACAGGCCATGACTTGCTCCCTATCCCTCTTCCTGCATCTTATCCCTTCTCTCCCCCTATCCCTTTCCAAGCTCAGGCTCATGACGAAACAGCCTTCATAGGCCTAGACTGCGCCGGGGATCCGGACGAAGATTTCTGCCTTTTTAATAAGGCAGTTTTTTCTTCCAAAAAAATGCTGTGTGGTTTCACTGTAAGTTGAACCTGACGCAGACTGCAACCTGCTGCTTTGCTAAAGTGCTCATGATGGATAGGCCGGATCTTTTTAATATAGCAATAAGTAAAGTCTTTGACCTGCTTTTTGTAACATAACAATGAGAACGGTCTTTTTACCTGCTCTTTTGTCATGTTAACAGACAAAGAGTAAGGTATTTTATCTGCTTTTTGTAAAGTGTCTCGAGATAACACTTGTTATGTGTTGACGCTATACAAATAAAATTTGATTGATTGATTTTTCTCTCTTCTTTTACCCGATTTACAAGAATGATTTAAATCAACGGGGGGAACAGTCAACAAGTGGCAATAAAGCGGTAGAAATCAGCATACCAGGTCTGTTAAATAATAATAACATGAATCAGGCCGATCAATATCATGCTCCATTTTTTTTAAAGCTAGGCCAGAGAGTTTCATAACAACAAAAGTTCACTCTTCTTAATATTTCATGAGGAAGGTTTTGAGTAATCCAGTACCAAAAAATAAAGAACCTTAATTCAAAGCTCTTTAGTAATTTACTTCTAATCATTGTACAACAGGCATAAATTGACTGTATCAAGAGTTTCAGACTTTCACGTTCACTCAGGGTAGTTCTATGTATTTTCTTTATTTAACCAGGAAAACGTAAGCCAGTCATTCTAATAGGCTAATTGTAGAAAAGGCCCCAAAGTCACCTGTTAAGGTTTTTGCTTTATGTTAAAATAGTGTTTGATTCCTGTTCAGTTTAATGTGATATTGTGCTCAATAGGGGGAGGTGTCACCTGCTGGTCATATAGTGAATTACATCATGTAGTAATGAGCAGTGTGCATCAGTCGATGACAGATGAGTCATCAGAGTAATCACTTCATAAGTTGGTTGTGCGTGTGTGAGTTTAGAGCTTAGTTGTTCGGCGTGTTGTAGATATGCTAATTAGCTGACGTCACGGCCCCGACATGCTTGCTATCTGTCCCCCGGCTTAGTTGGAGCCACACAGTAGTGATGTGAAAAGCAGTTCTTTTCAGTGTACTGAATCAGTAGAATCAGTTCAGTATGGTGATTCGTTCACCGAATCGTTCAGTACTTCTCTGCAGCTCTGTCTGTGAATCAGAATTTAATAAGCTGAAACACGGCCGAATGTTTAGTTCTGCTCGCGATCGAAATGAGAACAGCCGGTGGTGAATAATAAACCAATGAGCTGAGAATTTAGTTGGATAAAGCTACAGTTTGCAAACTGAAAGCTGCTAAAACAATCACATTTATTTTCCCCGACCGTTCTGTTCAGTACATTCAGTACACAAACTTTGACTAACTGAGAGGAAGAGAGTGACTCGGAGGCGGAGCTGTCGTTCAGTTCGTTCACTCTCTTCCTCTCAGTTCGTTCAGTGAACGTGAACAAGCGAGACTGCGAGTCACCAGCCTCAGTCACACACACACTGTACTGACTGAAACACGATCGTTAGTAGATGTTTAAACAGTCAGCTGAGTGAAATTATGTTGGATATAAAAGCCGTTTGTAAACTGACAGCAGCTATAAAAAGCACATACATTTTCGCGACACCTAAATGTTAAATAATATATTTTCTACTTCCTCAATTTTGGAGACGTGAGAGAAGTAGGGGCGGGTTTTAGTGACACAGCTCCCGACCGACTCCGTCCTGTTGGTTCAGTCATTATGTATCACGGACATGAAAGGGAGAGGGAGGGCGGGCTTTGAGCGACTCTTACAGTCTAGAGAGAAGATACGAGACGGGAGAGAGGAGAGCGCAACTGAAGTTGAGAAATGAACGACTCTTTTCAGTCAGTGATTCAGTTCAGTTCGTTCACCCAGATGATTCGTTCGTTTTGAACGAATCGTTCATGACCGACTCATCACTACCACACAGTAGTTGAAAAAGAGTCATGTCGAATTCATTACATGTTTGTGCTTAGCCTACCTAGTGCTAATTCTTTCCCGTGTTAATATTAGTGTTATTTTAGTTGCCTGTTAGTTACAAGGTTTGCTCTCTGCACGAGGAGGAAAGTTTTAATGTCCGTGCTTCACAATAAAAGCATCGTAGTATTTTTATAGGGGAATGATTGTATGACTGTTAAGCCTACGATAGCCTTTCTGTGTTTAATACTTTATGTTGGAGCCAAATGAGGTGTTTGTTTTGTGTGATGCTATTTTCCTTATGGTTGTGTGTTGGCCCTCTACTGGGCACTATGTGTAGCCTGGGCAGATGCTGTGGTTAAGACAAGGCTCCAGGTGAGGTGGGACAGGTGATTGAATGGAGGCAAACAGTTTTTTTTACCGTGTCAGCCTGTCGGAGTTAAATGCATCCAACGCGGATTTGTTTGTTTATTTATAGACAGTGGTTCGTCATATGTTCCTTTATTGATAAGAAGTGTTTAAAAATAAATGGATTGAAATATCCAAATCAAATCATTAATGGACTGAGTTAATTTCTTTGAGCTAAGCACGCGTCCGAAAGCTTCCACATTCATCCCTCAAGTGACTTTTCTAAACAATATTGGGTTTGTTAAAATTGGTCACTACACTTTAGGTTAAAGACATGTAGCTTACCTTTTATTTATTTAAATATTATAACCTATTACATTACTGTACAGTGTATTTTATGTTATAGAGGTAAGATGAAGCATTCAGATTTGTGTTCCTTAAGTATATATTCTGCTATTCTTTTTCTTATAGAAAACCACAACAAGACCCAATACTCTGTCATATTGAATGGCCACTGAGATGCCTGTATTTTGTTTCACTACAAGAGAAGAAGTAAACAGCCATTCAACCAATTCTGCACTCGTTATTCATATTCTGGAATAAGGCATGAAGTGGTGTTCTGGCCGACACACCTGAGTGAATCCAGTGAAAAGCAGCAGACTAATGTCCCAACTGAGTTTAGTTTTATTATCTTCATTACACTAATAGTTATTTTCCAACATGTACAGGCTCATTATCTCATTCCCCTGCTGGCGTCTCACTCTACAAATATTCCTTGCAATCTCTGTTTTCAACCCATGGTAGTCATACTAATGTTGCACAACTAATTGTGAACTGTTCCTGATATGAGGTTTGGCCATAATCACATTATGAAAGTCTGAAATTATTAAAAAATAAATGAATGAATAGAAATTAATGTGTTTTAGTTAACAAACAATACTTCTTACTTGGCATGCTCACATGTTAACTCGATTGTCACCGAGTTTAAAATCACCACTCTGTTATAAAATGTTCTTCAAATAGATAAGCTGAAGCCAGATCAAACTAAAAGCAGCGCTTGACAATTCATGCAAACAAGATCATCACTTAGAAATAGACTATTTGAAGTGATTAAATGCCTGGAAATGTCAATGTAGATAAAG